AATTATCATATCGATATTTTTATTATTTTGTTCTGTTTAATGTAAATAATAACCATAACCATTAGAGATAATCAAAAAAGTTTAACTTGGGATAAAAGTACAGTGAAAATAAAGGGAAACCAAAAAATTAATGCTTCGGATAAAAAGTATGATAGGATTTTGGTCCAATAAATATAACCATGTATTAGCTTCAATCTAACAAGAGAAACGGATTGCGGAAAGGAAAATGATTAGATTAAAAGATTCATGATGATGGTGATGAAAAGAGATAAAAATCTCAGCATTCTGACTGTTGAACTTTTTACTTTTACTATTATTTCATATATATCAAATTTTTCTCGAACTGGAAAATTGATTTCATGTTAATAAGCCGAAAATTCAAAACTCAAACTCTCAGCTCTTTTCTAATGGTTATCATGATAACTTTTTATCATCTTCTCATGTTATTTATATAACGTCATCTTCTATATATTATGTTAACTTTATGGGAATTACTTCAATTTATGTTTTACATTTCAAAGAATTATATTATTATCATGATGATTATCATCTTGACCATAAGACTGACCAACTTTCTTGTGGCTTTCATGAGATGGAAAAATAGTAGAAAACTTATTAATCAATTAACTTGAAATGAACAATTTCAAATCATTATATTAACCTGATAATTATGTAAATGATTAAGAGATAATCCTGATTCTTATAACCTGATTAACTTTACCAATTACTTTTGGTTGATAATTTGTCATTGTTATCATTGCCTATCAGCAACCAGAGTGATTTATATTAAGGTAATTTGATTATTAAATGAAATGACACACAATCAGAAGGGAAAAGCAATTGATTAATGTAAAAAGTTTGAAAAGTGACATTGATTTGATCATTTGATTAACAATCATAATCAGACCAATTATCTCAATCAATTGTTAACTCTAGTTAACAATGATAATAATGATTATCATCATGAAGACACTTGACTGTCAAAATATTTGATAACCTTTATTATTAAGAACCCAATGTCAATGTAACTAAAGTGAATATCTTCATCTGGGTCTCTCTCTCTCTCTCTCTCTCTCTCTCTCTCTCTCTCTCTCTCTCTGTTTTGGTTTCTTTATCATCTTATCATCTTCATCCTCATCATATTCCCTTTCAAATCGGTCAATTCTATATGCGATTCAATTGATTAAAGTGAGCCCAATGTTATTTGAACAAGAGTAAAAAGCTTTGAATAGACAGAAGGATAAACAATATAAATACTGTTATTTACTCACAATTTTATTTCTTGTTATTTTTTGTTTTCTTTTTCTCAACAATAGTTCATACTCCTAATAGACGATAACAAGAGAGATAAATATATAAACTCATCAAGTGAGATTTACTTCCGATTTCAATGTTATATGTGATCAAAACCACGTTATCATTTTGTTCCCAATGCTTTAACGCTTCCACTGATTAAGTAAATAACCTAACACTTTGTTAACCATTCAACTGAGAAACTTGATCTTTTAATAAACACAACATTCACTCAATTCTGCTACACTAGTAAATGTGTTGTAACATTGTGTTCATTTGATTGTATCCATAAAAATTTCAACAATTAACCTCAATCACCAATCAGTAATCATATTTAGAGAAAACAACAACAATAACAAATTACACATGATAACATTAACATGACATTTTCTCACACTGATTAATCGCCATGCAGACTGAATTCAACTCTACAGGTAAATATTCAAATAAGAAATTGAAAATTCATCTTACCTGTTACACGGAGGAAAGCGGATTGATCGATTACAGGAGAACTGTTTATTTGGCACATATATTCACCTCTGTCCTCTTCTCTAACTGGATCTAATTTGAGAGAAAATATTTTGTCTGTATGATTCGAGACATCGATTCGACTATTTTTACTAATAACTTCCTTTCCAAGTGCTAATAATGTATGTTTATCCTTGCGAACCCAGGCAACCTTTAGGGATAAAGATAATGAAAAGAAATGAGAGTAAATTGTTAATCCAATTGTTTACATATTTTGTGTTCCTCTGTAAATTAAATTAACCTTTTCTCTTGATTAGATATTCTTGGTGATTGAGATGATAATTCTGATAATGATAATCCTTTTCAAGTTTATCCCTTTACCCTCACTCAAAATGAGCAATTATTAACATTGTAGTTGAAGCTTTCCAATGATTTAATCAAGAGTTATATATACTTGTATTACTTTGTCTGGTTGACCCTCAATCTTTTTAACCGGATATACTGTTTGGAATTGAATTCACCAGAGAGACTCTGAATCTCTAAGATGATAATGATGATAAAGATGAAGAGAGAGAGAGAGAAACATAGTAACCTATTCAGTTACACCTTCCTAAGGCGAGTATCAAATTTATCTGCTTCATCCGATTCTCTAGTTTCCCTGGAACAGATTCAATATTATTTAGTTTAATTTCTTTCCCATCATTCTTATTCTCGAAAAGTCCAATATATACACTTCTTCCTCTTTATCATCATTCTTTCTTTCATCAAGATGATCATCTTCTTCTTTCTTTTATCTTGATTAAGGTTCACCCTTTCCTTACTCATTCACATGTTCTCCCCTCTTTACTTTGATGAATATCGCTAAGCTTAACAAAATCGGCTTAGCGGCTTTGCCTTTCATTTTACTCATATTCTTTCGTCATCTTCTCTAGTACAATCTTCCTACTTTCATCATTCACTCCCTGTCTCTCTTCTTGTAGCATCTTCTTTTTGCATCCTTCTCTCTCTCTCTCTCTCTCTCTCTCTCTCTCTCTCTCTCTCTCTCTCTCTCATTTCTTATTTCCCTCTTTTCATCAAGTAAAGTTGCTCAAGCTATCATATATTCACACAGATATTGTGGCCCAAAGAAACTGTTTGATGCTGTTCATCAATTTAATTTAGCATCAGTAAAATGAAGACGCATACTCATCATGAAAACCCCTCACTCACCCACAAGAAAAAAAAACAACATCAGATGAGGATAAAGTATGTTGGCCCGGGCTAAACCAATTTCCATTTAATAACCAAACATGTTTATGGTTAAAATGAGGGTAAAGAGGATAATGGGGATGGATGAGAATAAAATCAAAGGAAGATGAAAGTAAGATGATTATCAAAGAGGAAAAAAAGAAAGACGAGGAAGATAAAGATATAAAAGAGAGAATGAGATAGAGAGAGAGAGAGAGAGGGTGGAATGGACTCAACTTGGGCTCTTTCAAATGTTGAATCAGTTTCACTTGAAAACTATATCATGATAATAGCTACAGAATCATTGAGAACCTAAACTTGGGATCTTTTTTCCCCTCTTTATCTTTTATTGAATGTCCTTGTCAGAATATCCCCATTCTCATCTTTATCTTCATCTCTCCTTCATCCTCATCTTTAGCTTATCGACTCTTTTCTCTCTCCCTCTCTCCCTCTCTTATTATTCTTATCTATTTACAGAAAAAAATCTTAGAATCATCTCTCTTTTCCTCTTCCTTCCTCCGCTTTTACCATCCATCCAGCTACTCCAACCAACTGATGACTCCATCAGAAAAAACCCTCCACCCAATTTCATATCAACCTAATCACCATCGTTTTTTTCACCCAGAAAAGACAGAAAACAACTGAATCAAAATTCCAATCAATATGAACAAGACAAAGAATCACCTTGTTGACATCGTAAAACTCACAATCAAGTAACCAAACAATTGTAGAAAATAATTAATAACAATTAACTCACTTGTCGAGTGCCAAGATTTTCAACTACACATTGAAATTTAACAGGACGTCCAACTTGAACCGTTACATTGGACATTATCTCGGCAAAATAAGGCTTATTATTATAATCTTCATTAGGAAAATCTTTCTCGTTTAGAGAGTTAATCGAGTCGATTGAGTTGTATTCTTTGGCCAGACAGTTATTTGTATCTGCAAACAATTAGATGAAAACACGCAAGAAAATTAGATCAATTCAAAGTAAATGATATCATTTTGATGTCAACAATCAAATTTGCGGTTTGTTTCGCTGATGATAATTAACGATTGATTGGTAAAGATGAATACTAGCACTTTGATATTGTTGGAAAAGTTTAACAATTTCTGGTATGAGAAAGTTTTGTTTCATTTGTAAAGTTATACTCACATGTGAATAAAATAATATTTTGGATGTTTAAAATTAACTGAATGAAAAGTTTTCCACTTTTATGTATCAACATTTTACTTGGACTTTTATGTTCACAAGTATATTGGGGAAAAAGAGAGAAACGGAGATCAAGTCGTTCATCAGATCTGAACAAGATAATGAATAGAAAAATGTTCTAACAGAATCATGACTAACATTTGTTGAGAATACAACTCGAGATGAAATTCTCATCCCATAGAAATGTTGACCGAATATAATTCCATTCGAAACATGAACATCATGACATCTAGTGAATTCCATAAACAATTCACAATTCGATATCATCTCGAAAGAGTTGATCTTTTCTTGTTATTTTTTTCCATTCAGTATCAACATTCATCAGAAAAATTACCCAGCAATAACTGAAAGAACTTTATTCTAATCATATTGTTATTAGTTAACCATAATAACTAATTTGTTTTCTGTCAATCATTTTACCGAAAAGTTTATGGTTTGTTTTCAAATGATAACTTTGACTCAAGAGATTCCATTGACTGTTATCGATCAGTTCGTATGAATGAAATTCCAAGTTTCGGCTCCTTTAACAAAGTAGAGAAAATTTAGAACTCGAAAAGTGACCTGAGAACAAGAAAAAAAAGGCTAATCAAGGGTAATTATCAATCGAATCAATTTATTAGATCGAAAAAGTTGAAGAAAATGTCATCAGATGGCGATACATATTCGAAGGCTGAGAAAATTCGCTCTGCCATCTAGTGGATGATTTAACAACAAATTCTTTCATTTTTTCACCAATTAAACTGAGCATCAAATAAGAAAGAGAAAGTTAATACTAATTGTAATTTATGTAATAAAACGATATGATTTAAAATTTATTTTCTTTCCAATGATTACAATTTTAATCGATTTACAAAGTATAATATTTACCACAAGAAAAGATTTACAGTTTTATGTAAAATAATGTGTCCATTAAATGATTGTCATCATAACAGTATCATAACAATTATTTATAAATTAATACATTCGCTTTTGTTTCAATGACAGAAATTGAGATTTGATTAGTTGGTGAAAAGTTTTTTCTCAAATCCAACTTTTGTTGTTGTTTTTTATTTGTCACAAATTTAATCAAAACTTTATCGATAATCGAGTTGACGATCTGTCATTTAATGTTGATCTACTTTGCGACCTGCTAATCCAATGGTTACTTGGTCCACTAGATAATCTGAGATCTCTTTTAAAGCAACAACTTCACAATTTTTATCAAATCTATTACCCTGAATGTGAGATTTTGTTGAGCTACTGGTTTCATCATGACAAGTATCCGAAGAGATTAGATAACTTGGTGTATTGAAAAGGATTTGACGAAAAGCATTCTTAAAATCCTGATTACAAAAAGCATATATTAATGGATTAAGAGATGAATTAAGATAACCCAACCATTGAATTCCCGTTTTAACCTCATAAGGAGTTTGACAAGAATCACAATAAGCTTCAACAAGGTAATAAATAAAAAATGGAAGCCAACAAGCACAAAAAACACCCATGATAATACCAAGTGTACGAATCGCTTTTGTCTCAACGAGAAGCTGCTTAGTTTTCCTCCTTAAACGTTTCCCCGAATCAAATAGATCACCAGAATCACGACTTCCACTTGTATTAGATGAATATCCAGTCGAACCCATGGATGAACTTTCCTTAAGTGTATATTCAACCTGCTTAATTTGTCGAGATTGTTCCTCAGCGATAATCAAAATTCTCATGTAAACATAAAGCATAACAATCAATGGAACATAAAATGAAATACTAGAAGATAGAACGGCATAGATTCGATTAACCTGTAGAATAGAAAGAAAAAAGAAAAAAAAATCTCGAATTTAGGTAACCAATTCAATCTATTTCGTCACCAAAAGGTACAAACTTAAACTCCACCATGAGAAAGTTTTCATGATACAATGAACATCGCTCAGGTAAATTAGCTTAAAGTCATTACTATTATTATTATTATCTGAATATAAATATAATCGTAAATACCACAAATCAAATGATTACCATTGATTAAATTGATTTGGGAGATTATCAATCATAAATAATTCACGATTAGTGTTAAATTGTGTAACCATTAATCAGATAAAATTTAACTCATTCCTTTGATACATAAAAGTTATTCATATATTAATCTCAATTTTCATCTGATTAATTGTTTCATTTGATATTTATTAATATCAAAAAAGAGACTAACATTAATCATCCCATTTATTAGTTTAATTTATTGTATTTTATAAACCAAATCAAAGCTAATTGAGAAATGAAATGATAATCAATGAGAAACAGGTAAAGACTTAGCTACCTGTTTGTTCATGTATTTACATGATGTTCATCTGATCAATTGAGCTTTTCGATAAATTCTGAAATTTGTATAATAATTATGATAAACCTTTCCAATGATTAAATTTGATTTCAACTTTTTCTTTTTTCAATTATCATTCTCAAAGAATTGTGAACTTTTAATATTTACATTGTGAGTTGCAAATTAAGATTTACCCTGAACTTTAATTTTCCTCTGAGTGATGATGATGAATTTCCAAGGATATAATAATATATATATATATTTGCTATCTCTCAAGTGGAAGAAGAGAAGAAAAAAATAATTCTCTTTTTTTTTATTATAAGAAGATTAACATTGTAATAATAAGAAATTAAATACATGAGGAATTAAAGTCTATGACAAGAATTAATTTCCAACAGTGGATTGGGAAAAGAGATGCTAAGAAAATGATAGGTAAACACTCAGGTGAATATTGATGAGGGAAAATGATAGATTGGTTGAATGTCAACGAATTCTCATCATGATTGAATAAAGGGAAGAAATAAAAAAAAAAGATAATTATAAATATTAATTGATTTTCTAATGAAAAATCAGTTTTCTTGTTAATCAACTAATCGAATTGATATCTTGCATATCATGAAACTTTCAATTAATCCATCAATCTATTATTATCATCATCATTATCTTCATAATAATAATCGTGATGATGAACAATAATTATTTGATATTAATTGATGAGAATGATAATATGTTGATGGTCAGTTGTATCGGATGATATTGTCCACTAAATTACTACCAAAATCTGATGGTCATTGATAAATTAAAATCTCTATCTAATGATAGACTCATGATGAGATCAATTTATCATGTTCAATTGTTTAATATTGTTATATTATTATTATTATGTTCAAGAACAGGATAAGAGATTGTGTTTTTGTCTATGAGTATTAGTGGGGTTATCATGATGTTACTGAATAGACTGGAGATCTCAATTGGATTGATAATTTGTTGTTGGTCATTTTATCATTAGAAAATAAGAGAAACAACAAAAAAAAATAAGACGATGATGATGTTTATGATAGAGTTGATGATAATAATGATAAGAGTATGGATGATGAAGATGATGGAGTAAATGAATCGTAAATATATAATATTTTTACCTTAAGTTCACAGTCAGGGAGATGGTCAAATGTTAGGATATTGTTAATGGTTCCAGCATGATACCAACCACTGAATATTGGAACAAATGAAATGGTAATACTGCTTATCCAAATAACGATTATATTGCAATAAAGATTTCGTCTATTCACTGAAGTCTTATATCGAAGAGGATTAGTTATGGCACAATATCTAATATAAATGGAAAGAAACAAGTTAGAAAAGTTAGTAAGTCGAAAAAAAGAAAATAAAAGTAAATTTAACTTTTAATGTTCGAAAACTTTTCAATCAGTTAATTACTTTCGCTTTCTTTTTTTTTCTCACTCTTTAAATTGATCTCATTTCATGGAATCGAATTGTTAATAGTTCGAAGAAAATGCTGATAAAATTATCTTTTAATTTCTTTTAATTTCTTTTTTATTCTAGTTCTTCTTCCTCTTTCTATCTCTTCTTTACCTTCTTAAAGAAAAGACAATCAGAGCGATATAATTGATTGAGATTCTTATAAAAATATATCATCGAACTATTCATTCATGGTGATGAATACAGATTCAAATTATTCGCTCTCATGGTTCTTGAATCAGTTCCAATTAGATAAATCTAATCATTGGCAAGGATTGAAATCTCTCATTATTTGGTTATCATTAATCTGATAATCGATTTTTATGTTGAGAATTTTATTCTTTTTTTATCTTCATCATTCTAAAAGTGAATGAATTTTGTCACCTTATTATTGATGATATTAAATCGCAGTTATTTTCTTTCTATTCATTGTGGTTCATCTGAGTAACATGGTAACATTTCATGTAACATGATTTTTTATCCAGGTAAATATTCATTTCTTTTTTCTTCTTATGTTACTCAACAATTTAAATGTATCTAAATCTTATACTTTCACTACCATGAACATTGTCAAAAAGTATCTACATTTACATGAGATTTTATTTCATAGAAAATGATTTTTCCGTTCTCAGTACCAAAATATTATTCAACTTTTTTTTTACTCCTTGTTATCCTCCTGTGTTAATATGATATAAAAAAATTCAGTGGAAAGGATTATGTATCCGTTGTTGGGAATCAAAAGTCTCATTTAAAGTTAGATAGCATGGAAAAAAATCGATAACTTATTGGATTTAATAATAGTAATAATATTATGTATCAATGTTTTCCTCCAATGGTTCTGAACGAATTTCTCCCTTTAGGACAATACATGAATTGGAAAAGTGAATGTTAAGGAGATAGAAATATTGAAATGTTCAGATGAGACAAAATCATCATTATGAGATTATCATTGTCATTATCATTCGACTCATTCATGAATTCCATGTCATCGATTTCATATCAACCCTCGATATGTATTAGAGCTCTCTCTCTCTCTCTCTCTCTCTCTCTCTCTCTCTCTCTCTCTCTCTCTATTTATTTCTATTTCTCTCTTATCAACTTTTCCATCTTGATCATGTTTCTCATGATGTAATTCACATCATCAAGAGCATGATAGAAAATGATTTTTCTCTTGTGCTCTAGCTGTATATCGAAAGGTTTTACACTTGATCGAGTTTCTTGTACTTGGTATTACATTTTTTTCCCTCTAGTTTAAGAGAAACTGGATTAGAGTATTGGAAAAACAGGAATAAGAAGGTGTTGATGAGAGGAGTGAATTTTTCATGAGCACTTATCACCTCGTGAACAGAATACTTAACCCTCTAATTTTATGTTCTTTATCAGAACTTTTTCAACTTCAGAAACTCAAGAGATGAATTGACTTATCATTATCTGTAACTCAAAATAACTTTATCCAGAATCATAAGTATATTCACGGTAAATTTACCGACATCAGAGTTATCTTTTATATATATATTTACAATTGAGTTAGAAATTTGAAATCATAAGGGTAAATGATTATCTCATATCTCCATGAGTTATATCAATTCATTCCATGAAGGAGTAATTTGATCATTACAGTCATTTCTAGCTGGCTATCATCTAATACATCTATTTAAGTCAATAATTGTGGACTTTAAAATGGAAAGGTTCAGAACATTTAATTAATCATTGCAAAACATATTGTGAATTCACAAATCCAAATACCGCTGCTACCGATGAGAAACATACATTCCCGGGGTCCGTGCCAGTTCTGAGTCAACTGTTTTTCGCTGGCCGAAAAGATTACCCTCTACACCATCATAGTTAACATAACCGAAGCTCTGCTAAGCTATAATGGGTAAAGGATCCTAGCTATAGTCATACACAAGATCACAAAGACACAAGTCCAGAATCTATAACTATGCTATAAATAACAAAGAAATTTCATCCAGTCTCAGTACAATGTAGTACTTGCTTCTGCCTTTAGCCCGACCAGCTCAGTTTTCAGAGCCAATCCTTTTCCCGAAGTTACGGATCCGTGTAGAAATGAAAAAGAAAGAGGAAAAGATAACCTATCAGAACAGCCCAATAGGGGTCACTCAAATTGATTCGATAGGTGGCGAACATTTTAAATTACTTAATTAAGCTACATGACGACTCGATCCTTTCCTTGAGGGAAAAATTGATAATAGATCTCCGAATTGTTGACAGATGATTATGACTTTGAGGAGTTCGAACGAGAAAAGCGAAAAATCTACAAAAGTAAAAAAGTCTTCAACTGTTTGCTAGGTTAATGATTTACGATAATTGTTATTTTAATAATTCATTGAAAAAGCATCATTAGTAGTAGGCTCATTGTTTTACACTTTTAATCATTTCTTTCATTAAATTGCATTTGGTAGAATGTTTCTGACAATTAAGTAAAAGTAAAAGAATATGAAAAAGATTATCGTGGTGATGATCATCATCAGCATGATGATGATGATGATAATGAAGGAGACATTAATAAAGATTTTATGTTTAGGCGTAAAGTGTAATTTCATTTGTGTTTTCATATTATTATAATTAAGCACCCAAAGAACAACATCAATATCAGAATCATCAGTAACATCCCTTTTCTCATACAACTCATTCTGAGTAAGATGTTCATTAATCTTTACACATTATTATTATTATTATTATTCATGGCTCATTCTTCATTGTTATCAAGCTATCAGGGAGAAGAAGTTGAAGAGAGGCTAAATTCTAGTGTATTTGAAATGTTATTCAGTAAGTAAATGCTTTGAGGTTATCCAGAGGCTGAATCTGAGACGATAATGAAAAATCATATAATATTTTTTTGTTGTTGGAATGAGAAAAAAACTAAATGAATGATAAAAGAAATGAGTGATAAATTCTGTTGACATATTATCATGAATGTGAATTAATGTTTGACTTTACAGCTAATTAGTTTGATAGAGATAAATGGGTAATCCGAATAATAAAAAACTAATCAATTTTTACATTCTAATTGTAATTTTAATCCATTGTTTCATTTTAATTGTTTCCGTAACTTTCTTTCAACTTTTACTCCATTTTTTTTTGTTCACCATGATAACAGTTCAAACACATTTACAATAGATTATCATGAGTTCAGTTGAATTTTCAATGTTTATTAGGTTCTCATTGTATCTTGAATACAATATCAAATTATAAGCACAAGGATATAAATATATCACAACTGATTCGTTAAATACTCTTATCATAATTTTCCTTTGGAACAAGCATTCAATTCAGATTGTTATGTTTCCAACCTTCTCATGATTAACTAATTTTCTGTTCATAATATGATTACATTTTTGGATATTTATCTGATCGTAGAGCTTGTAGTGGATTTAAATCACTTGTTTATCGATTATCACTTGAAATTGACATTGAGATTGACTGAAAGTGATAATTTATTTCAATTGAATCAATTAATTGGCCTTGAGAGTTGAAAACTAGTCTCAAGATGATCAATTCTCAGTTTGGATTTTGATCATTGAATAAGAGTAATTACTTGAAACGATTAATCTGTCGAGGGAAAATTTTTCGTTTACTTGCAAAAATGTTCAACTCGGATATCGACGAATCATCTAATTGATAATAGTTGAGATGGAGAAAAAAAATTCCAACTTATACTAGAACAATTTGTTGCAGTTTCGATGAGAATTCATATGAGACTCGGCACAATTACTCTGATATTTTTCTTTCTTCTGCCTTTTTTACACAATCGATAAGTGATATGAACATTTTGAATTCGATTCCAAGAGAAGACCCAAATTATTTATATTCATTGGAGCGAAAACAGTAGACAAAGGTAAAGAAAGAATAATATTTTCTTGTCTTATATTCTTAGAGATATTAATCATGTATATTCACTTTTACCTGTCTAGTGCAATGGCACATAGATGGAGGATTGAAGATGTACAGCACATCACATCACAGGAGATCCAAAAATGACACGGAATTGATCTGAATGGCCAGAATCGTAGATAATCATAGACCAATAAAAAGGGCATAACTAAAATGGCGACGGTTATATCAGCTGAAGCCAGACTAGAGTCGAAAAGAAATTTGTAAAGAAAAAAGAAATCAGAACAACATGTAAATGATATTAGAAATAATCTGATAAAATAATGACCAAGAAACATCAACATTTCGTCTGAATGATAATCAAGAGAGGTAAAGAAAATCAGTCAATAGTATTAATATTATTTTCTATCTTCAAGAGTGAATATTTCATGTTAGATAATCAGGATATGTCTGTGATTATCTTCAATACATTAAGAGGATGAATTTCAGTTACGATGATCTTATTGATCCATAGGGCATGGAATAAATCAGAGAAGATAATACCAGAACTTGCGTTCGATTGCTTGAAGAATTGTTCTCAATAACATCAACTCTATTTCATCGTAAGAACAGTAAAGAGAGAGAGAGAGAGAGAGAGAGAGAGAGAGCAAAAAAACACCATTAAGAAAATTTTCTGGTTAATTCGATTATTCAAACGAATATATAACATATTCCAATTTCTTGATTTACATGAAACAATTTGATTCCAACTAATTTACACAATGAGATAAATTGGCTCATTTCTATTGATCAATTTGCATGGTGGCGAAAATTTTATCTATTACAATGAATAACAATTCTGTGATTATTTTCACTTGCAAAGAGAAAGTGGAAATGTTATTTTGTTCTGAGCTGAAAAAGATTCCATTGTGTGGTGATTAATTAACTGAATCCTGTTCACTTATATAATTGAATTTAATTCTGTTGATTAGGTAATGTTATTGTTTCTCTCTCTCTCTCTCTCTCTTGATTGAGCTAAAACCTCAGTAAAAAGCAAAACAAAAGAGATACATCAACAACTTATTCACAGAGACGTTAAAAGTTATCGTAACTAAAAATAGCAGCACATTGTTTTTGGATTAAATTTGTTCAACATGATAAACATGATGATAAACAAGAAATAGTGACAAAATTGATTCAATGAATGTAACTTAATCAACAAAAGCAACACTGAAACAAAAACAATCAACAAATCGTGAAATTAATCTTTCGCCTAATGAGATAATCCAAAAACAATCAAATCTGAATACAATTATAATAATAATGAAATTCAGGTAACTGAAACATAATCAGATAATCAGAATTTAATTTACTTTGATTGAATAGAATCAATAAATATATCAGCTAATGTAAACATATAGTAAAATTGATACAATTAACTCAATCATAATCAGGATAATAGTACCGAGAATCCAATTATCCAGTTGATTGTTGGGAAAAAAGAGTAAAATTTACTCAGGGAAAATGAATTTAACTCAACTTATCAATAGATTTGAGAAAAATTTTGATAACAATATGAATTTCATGAAACTTGTTTAGTTAATTCAATTGCAGGGGTTTCATGGGAAGGAAGAGATAAATTGATGAGCATAAAATATTAATTGCAAATTAAGAATACCTGTAGTTACAGTTATGGTTAAATTCAGGTACAATTGTATTTAAATTTTGGAAATAATGATTTTGAATAAGTAACAAAGTTATCGACCTGAATCGAGATCGTTACTTGTACATTTATCATTCTCATTTAAACTTGAACTTGATGATAGAGAGCTAAAAGATGAGGTAATTTGATTTCGAAAAAAAAGAATAAAATTGAATCAAAATGGCGGAGAAAATATAATATATCTTTTTCCATTATTATGTATGTGAACATATATACTAATATAATGGTAAAAGAATGGCACAAAAAAAAGTTCTACGAACATAATTATCTGTGATTCCGTTATGATTCATTGACTGAGGTGTTCATGGAAATGAATTAATATGAAATAAAGAGAAGAATAAAAAAAAACTGAATTAAAAGAGATGCTTTAATTATAATGAAGAGTAAGGAAACTCTGATTATTATAACAATTTTTAAACATTTATGCAAATTGTAGTTACAAAATTAATAGTAATTTAATTAATAGTTGTACATGCGATTCATTGAGATAATTATTATAATCATTGAACAATGAGACGCCCAATGAATTCATTGGTTTCCCTCTTGGGCTCATCTTAATGTCCATTGTGATCATTATTGAACAATTCAATTTAACTCTGTTAATGTAAATCTAATGGTCTTTTAATGGTCATTAACTCATAACATCATTTTGAGAGAGAGAGAGAGAGAGAGAGAGAGAGAGAGAGAGATATCAAATTGATCTAATATTAGTTCAATATGATATTGACTAGATTATAAGAATAGGAATTATCATCAATATTTTTTTCCAATAAGTGGGTCAATCAAAATGCTAGAGGAAAATGTTTTCTCACAATTACAATTGAATTAAAATACTTGATTCTTGGTGTTGTTCAATTAAAAAACAATCAACAAGATGAGAAGAGCCCAAATTCAGGTCAATTAATCACTATTAATGATCTATTGAAAGGATTTACATATTAATGATTGAGAAACATGAAAGGGTCAATGAGGAAAATATCATCATCAAGATTATCATTATATTAAATATTAAATTGTTAATATATAATTACATGTGTGTGATATAATTTATATATATAAATTATTTAGAAAAACTTTTTTTTCATAATCATTATTAACATGATGATGATAATTTAAATAGTATGATAGTTAAATGAAATATCATTTAGTGATCATTGAGGTTTAATTATGAGAGTGAAAAAAAAGTTGTGATAAGTTTTTAATTAAATATCAAAACTAAATGTGAAGGTCGAGTTGTTATAATTGCAAATGGAAACAAATTTGATTAAGCTTATTATTTTTATCGTTTTTAGTTAATTCTGTTGGGAGTGAAACAATTATAAACATTATCATTGTCACATCGTTATTATTATTATTTCTATGGCTGAACATTGAGCTTAACGTGCTCTTGTTCATTAAGGATAAGATGTATGTCTATGAAAAAAAACAAGAGATTATGAATGAAGATGAAGATGGAGAAGAGGAAATTTGTTCATTATCTTTGGTGATTCTCAATTTCGTTCGTTTCATCTTTCCAATTGAATTGTGACAATGATAATTGTTAAGCTCGTAAATTGTTACAATTATTATTTATCTGAACGCCCTTTTATTCACTTTATGATTGTAGATTACATCTCATTAGGGTGTGAAGAAGGAAGAATGAAGATGATAATGATGATAAGAATGATTAGGGTTTTGAGAAAACTAAAGGAGGAAAAGATGATGAGTCGTTATTGGAATTACTCTTATTCTTGTTGATGCTTGTTAAGAGTTCTCAAGTCAACTCTTCATCTTTTTCCTTTTCTTCTTGTTCTCCCTTTTCTTTATCATTTAGAATAACAGATAATGATGAACTACATCATGGAATGTTGAACACAGAATACATCAGCATAATTGCTACTGTGGGGTTTAATCGTGAAAGTGATTAGGTTGAACTGTGTTGAGTTCGTGGTGAGATGTGTATATCTCGTAGAGATTGAGAATTTCAATATTCTCAGCAACTTATGTGAAGTTGAAAGAGTAATCAGAAGATTAATCTGCCCACTTAATCAGATTGAACAGATTCTTTTAGGATAGCCAATACACTAACTCGTGTTACTGAAAATTTATCACCAGTGATCACTAATTTTGAAATGGAACTAATTGAACTTCTAAAGAACTTTTATTAAACTGAATTAAGAAAACCTAACTGGTTGATGGTCAAGAAAACTTAATTGAGAACTGAATAAGAGTAAATATTCAACTGGAATTGAATGAGTATTAGACTTAACAGAGTTATACCAAGCATTCAACTGAGGTTACAATTAGTTGAAAGGGTGATTAAATGGATTAACTGGGGTAACAAATTTGATTACAAATAAGGGAAAATCTTCTTAGAGATTAATTAAATGAAACAAAATTAAATGATGAAATGGGTTAACATTATTATAATGGAGACACATTGGGCAGACAAATCATCTTTGATAATCTGGGCTCTTGTTTTTAACCAAGATAACAATGTAACAGGTTAAACAAAAGGATGAGGAAAAGGTAGTTTGGCTTAAATAAGCTGTAAGAAAAAAGAAAGCAAAAGAAAGAAGCAAAGAAAGAGAAAAGTTTTTCCTTTCTTAAAGTGACACTTTTTTGTGTTCTTAATTTTAACATAGAAAGAATAGGAAATTTTGGTTAAATAGGAAAATTAGTTAATTGTTAATCAAATATTCTTATAGGAATATAATTAATTAATTGGTTAACTAATTTTGATTTCATATAGAAATTCGGGATATTATTAATTCTAATTGGTTAATGAAAATTTGGTTAATTGTTAAATAGAAAAGGGATAATAAAAGTTTATATTGTTGAATAGGAACTAAATTTGTTAATTGTTGAGTCTCAATTGTTGATGATTAAAAGTATATCACTTTAGTGATCAAAAACAATTAAGGTTGATTAATTAGAACAATTAAGCGAATGAGTAAATTGTTAATAAAAGCAAATTAAAATGAGTAACATAATTAAAGAAAAGATTAAATAAGCATAAATCGAGAATTCAAATCATTCTAGTGATCCAAAATTCTGGATTATCGGGGACACGTTTTATACCCTTCAATTCCCCAGGTTTTGATTAAGAACCTTAATAAGACTGAGTTTTGATCGTCTAGAGGAATTTGAAGATCGATGATGATGATGAGGATGAATTTGCGGGTGAATTAGGCCAAGAGCGGGTTGGATAGAGAAGGTGTGATCGGACTTGAGAGGAGGATTTCCTGGTTACTTGATTCCTGTGAGCTGGTAATCAATGACGGTGGAGCGGATGAGGTTGAATTTCCTTTGGGTGGTTGAGCGGCATCAGGGATATCGTCGGAGCGATTTGGTTCAGTTTCCTCTTCTGTTGAATTTTCAGATAAATTCAGTTCTTCACGAACATAAACAACTGTAGCGTTGGAGCTTTGTTCGGTAGATGGGCTTGTAGAGGAAGTAGATGCGGAGCTTGAGGTTGATGATGAGGTAGATGAAGAGCCAGAGGTAGTGCTTGATGAGCTTGATGATGAGCTTGAATTTTCGGTGAGGTCAATAAGGGTTT